AACTCCTCTCGGACACAGAGTACCTCCTGCCTCTCCGGTCGTTCCGGTCGCTTTCCGGGGACTGGGCAACAGGCAGCGGGGCGTGCGCTTCGGGGGCGTCGCTCTGCTCCTCGGGGAGCCCCTGGATCTCCTCGTTAATTTTTTTTTTCTTTTTGGTTCTCTAATTGAGAAAAATTTTCAACTCTGTCTTCTAATTCATTGATTCAATGCTCAGCTTCCCCTAATCTGCTGTGTATTCCTTTCAATGTGTTCTTTATTTGTGTTATATCACTCTTTATCTCAGACTGTTCTTTTTCATAGTTACTAGATCTTTTTCATACTGTTGAGCGGGGAGCCCCTGGATCTCCTCGGAGGCCTGGGAGTCGGTGGAGGTGTCCACGCTGGGGCTGCTGGAGCGCGACGAGTCGGAGGACAGCTGCGAGGAGTGCTGCGAGGCGGCGCTCGACTTCTCGGAGGACCCGCAGGAGGCGGCGCCGAAGCGGCTGCTGGGCGCGGGCTCCAGGCGCGCGATCTTGATGGGCGGGTCGTAGTCCTCGTCCTCGATGAAGCGGCGGGGGGTTTTGATGATCCGCGAGGAGATGGCGCTGACCACGGGCATGATGAACTGCCGGATGTTCTTGACCTGCGTCTTCACCTTCCGGCCCTGCAGCTGGGCCGCCTCCTTCTCGATCTTCTTCTGCGCCCCCTTCTTCGCCCGCTGCAGGAGCTGCTTGGCGATGGTGGCGTCCGTCCTTTTGGAGGAAGGGATGATCCTGACGGGCTTCACCCGCCGCGGGCTCTGTCTGACCACCGCCTTGTCTTCCTTGGCGAGGGCCGGGGCCGCGTCCGCGTCCCTGCGCACCTTCTGGGGCTTGTCCAGGTGCGAGTTGAGGAGGAGGCCGGCCGGGGCCTTGACCCTCTCGGCGGAGGGCGGCCTCCCGCGCCGCCGGACGATCTGCACCCCCTTCCTTCCGATCTGCAGCTTCCCGGCCTTAAACTTGGACTTGAGCGGGGAGAGCTTGCCGGCTCGTAACTTTTTGATCTTGGTGGCTTGCTGGAACGTGGCGGACGGGGTCCGTTTGAGCTTTTTCAGGCTGTCGTCTTTGCTGCCCTTTGGTAACTCGGCAATGTCCTTTCCATGCGTGATTTTGATTTTTACTCCAGGGAAGGTGGGAGGTCTTCCTCGCTTCTTTTCTAAGCTTTTAGAGTCTTTCTTCTTGATCTTATCCCCAGGTCTGGTCTCTGGTTTACTGAGCGGGGGGAAGGCGGGCGGGTCTGGGAGGAGCGGGGTCCGGTCGGAGCCGCTGCGAGGCCGGCCGCGAGGTTTCCGAGGGCTACTCTTAGCTGCGTGTGGAATCAGACAATGGAGAGCGGTTTAGCGATGCCGTTCAGGCTCACGACGCTGAATATCATTTAGCACAAGCCGCCTGGTACCGAACTCTAGTTGCGCCCAATGAGTCAATATCACATTTTAATTGTGCTTAGTCTCTTTCCCCCCAAAACTTGCTTCAAAAATCAGCTAAATGACATTCCACTTAAAAGAACATTAAGTACTTTTTTGATTAAAAAAAAAACAACCCTAACATAATAAAAGGTTTTCAACTGACCAAGTTATAACATCCAAAACTGATTTTACTGCTTTAGGTGAGCAAGGTTTATCTTCTGAATACGAAAAATGGTTAAAAAGAAATCTGTGCTACCCTTTTCCATATCTTCACCATCAAGATTAATACTTGAGAACATGTTCATAGCAACTCATCTTTTCATTGCAGAACTTTGGCTTTAATAGATTTGGACAAAGTGCTCTTCTATCCATGGCACACCAACTTCTACAGGAAAGGCCCTGGGAATCGGGCTGCATTGCCAATCAGTTTTGCCATAGGAAACTGAGAATGCTCACTGAACTCAGCAGCATGTAAACTGATCATGGAAGTGACCTGGTGATGTGCCCATTAACGAATCCCCCACATACAGGTTCTTGAACTAATTAGTCTCAAATTACAAAAAAAAATTTAACCTTAATTGATTGAAGAGCAAATTAACAATTTATTGAATCAGATTTCTTCTAAAAAAAAGGAATTTGCCAATTTATAAATCATCTCAATCTGCTATTTATCAAGAGACTCAAGAAAACAAAATTCTTTTCCTAAAATTCTTTGTATAAACCTGTATTTTCTAAATGTCTTGAGTTCCCTAGTCTATCATGTCTTCTCTTCCCACATGAATTTTTAATGTTTTATATGACTCAACATTCTTCTAACACTAACACCTCTCCTAATAGGCACCCAAAGAGATGTATGCCATGGAGATGAACGTTTTAGACCACGGAACCAACTTTCTATCAGAACAGACATCAACGAAGAACTTACTGTTGTGCTTTTGAAATAGAAAGGTTTCCCTTAATAGATGCAGGATTCACAAATCCATTCTCAATATGTATACCAATGGCAACAAGAATGAAGAATATTCATATGGTTTTAAAACAACCCAGACAACATTCCAAGCACACCGATCGCCAAGAACGCTTCCAAGGAAACTATTAAAAAGTGAACTCCTACAAGAGAAGGACCTCCCCAGATTCCTGATCCGCCTGGTGGACTTGACCCTGGCCACCACAGGTCCGGGTTAATTCTGAAGGCCTCTCCTACCCAACTTTTAAAAGAAGCTTTTGGTGAAGCAGAAAAGGCAGGGCCTTGCCCTGCCACCAGCTCCCACATCCACATTCAGAGAACTCACAAACCACCTGCAATAATTGCTCATATATCTTCTGGGCCTCACTCTGTCATTTACTAATGAAGGGCTAGACCACATGATCTGTAAAATCACTTTATGACCCCTAGTCGGCTTGGCTCAGTAGATAGAGCATCGGCCTGTGGACTAAAGGGTCCTGGGTTCAATTCAACGGCACATGCCTGGGTTGCAGGCTTGAACCCCAGCAGGGGGCATGCAATCGATGATTCTTTCTCACCATTCATGTTTCTATCTCTCTGCCTCTCCCCTCTTCTAAAATCAATAGAAGTATTTTTGAAAATAAAATAAAAAAACACTTTATGATATGAAGGTTTAAGATTTCACCACATATTAATGAGAAGAATGCCACGGTCTGAATGGCACAGATACTGGGTTCTTACTGGCTGATCCCCCAACTATAATAGCAATACCACCCCCACCTGGGAAAGGAAAAAATGTCCTCTTATGTGTCTGAATGAGATTACTGTATAGCACATGACTCTTAAGTAACCCAACTGCTAACAAACCTCAAACTGAGTCAGTATCAAAGAGCAAAAACACCGCCCATTGTCTATCCACACAAAGTCAGAGAGTCACGCAAGAATTCAGAATAGCAGCAGAGACAGGGAATGTTTTCTCCAGCAAAAGCTCGATAGCCCCCCTGCCTGACGCTCTGCACACCAAGGGGTCGGGGGTGTGCTTCCCGGTCAAGGGCATACACCTCGGTGGTGGGTTTGCTCCCCACATGCGGGAGGCAACCAGTAATGATGTGTCTCTCACATTGATGTTTCTCTCTCTTCTTCCCCTTCCTCCTTCCCTCCCTCTCTAAAAAGCAATGGGAAAAATATCCTCAGGTGAGGATTAAAAAAAAAAGATCTATAGCCGTCTCCTATTAGAATGGCATTCTGCAAGGCATTAAATGTTATTTCCACTGATAACTGTCTATCAAAAAACTACTGTAAGTCTAAAACCTGAAGACAGTCTAGATATTTTCTTGGTGAAAACAATGACAAAAATATTGCTTATAAATGGAGATATACCATATCATTTTTGTTTTATTTTAACACAGCCTTTCAAGAATCAGGCAAAACATTCACATTCACACAGTGCTAATATTTTGTTGTTAGTTCTTTGACAATAATAGACCAAATTTCATCTGTAAAAGTCATAGATAGGGTGGGGCAAAAGTAGGTTTACAGTGTTCATATGGAAAATAATATACTTATTACCAAAGAATAATATAAGAATAAACTGTTTCAGGTGCTCACAACTGTAAACCTACCCTGTATACTACCATATCATCCCGAATATATACATCTGACGTGCTGTATCAGGCTCCCTCACGCCACGGAAATCGACCTCCCAGGCCTGTGGGTTCCCACAGAAGCCTGGTGGAGAAGTCCCAGAAAGAGGTCTGTTCCATAAGCCTTGTGCTACTTAGTGTGAGGGAAAAGGAAGGGCGTACCCCAAACCCCTCGTATTTAAGACCATCCTTTCCATGCAAAGAAGGAAAGGGGAAGCCACAGTCTCTTCACAAAACGTAAAGGCGCCATGCGCATGCTCAGCCGTACCTGAAGGAGACCTGGTGGGACTTCGTACTCTGACTTCTTCATCTGAGCCAAAACCTAAGAACTGCTCATCCTACAACAAAGGAAAATCATTTTAAAGTCAGAAACCAAAGCATGAACATGAACAAACCCTAAAGAAATGCCCAGAGGAGACAAAAATAATTTTGAAAATTAGCTTTTATATATTAATCATCATCATTCACATGGATATTTAAAATAACTGTTGTTGAAATGAATGGACCCAGGCATTACAGCTTCATCACAGACCAATGGGAGCTGCATGTCACTGAGCAATGCATGGACTTAGCATCTCTGATGCCCAGGACCCAAGAGACAATCCTACATTTCAATCTAGAGATGCAGCCCAAAGCAATTGAAGACCGACTTTAATTCGAGTCATCAAATGAGCACAAAGTCAATAAAACAAATCTCTTCAACAGGTAGTTACGTCTACAAACATATAAAGAGTAACATAAGCAATATCATCATCTCTGGTTTACTCAATATTAATAGAGACTGAAGTGGCCATGACCGTCAGTTCCTTAACTCAGGAACAGACATCTAGATGCGATTTCTGTTCATTTGAGATCCAATGATTCTCAACATGCATTTTGTAGCATCATTTTAAAATGTCCTGTGATGAGAGACGTAATGGTGGGCAGCAGCATCTATGAGAGCGATCATGAACTGACCACAGGGCGGTGAAATTCATTCAAACAGAAGGCAGGAAAGCACCTTACTTTCAGTTCTACTTCGGGCAAAAGCTTCTTACTTCTCAGTTTTAACCTGCCCTTTAAAAAGTAAGTACCAAGGACTGAACCTATTTTGAACAAGTTCTCACAAAGGATGGTCTATTTAGACAAACTGATGAACAGAAATTCACTGAGTCCGAGCATAAGAGTTCCTCCAGAGAGAGATGAGAAAGAACTTCAAATTCCAGAAACAAAATCCACACAAAAGAAGAACAAAATAAGGCATGAAAGGCAGATATTCTTGAACCTCCAATGTCTACTGATAAGCCCCACACTAAGCTCCAACAGTGAGAGCCCCACACTTTCCTCTCGGGAGTGAAGACCGCGGGGTGTGGACACCTGTGGATGTCCTGAAGCTGTTGCCCGGGAGCATAAAGCCCCAGGCGGGTGCAGTCTGTTCACCCTGATTGACCAGGAACGGATGAGAAGATACACGCAACCTTCTGGACAAATTAGCAGGTTCCGTTCTTAAATTTAAATGCTTTTAAAGAGCAAATGTTTGGGGTCAAGACTTGAGATAAAATGCAACAGAGAGATCATTCTCATTAGAATCTAAAAAGGTTCTTGCTCTTAGACTGTTAAAATTCTTGAAGTATTTAAGGGAAAACGATAATTATCCTCTTCAAAGAGATTTCTTTGTACAGTACAGTGGGGCCTTGACTTACGAGTGTCCCGACTAACGAGTTTTTCGAGATACGAGCCGTCTCTCGGCCAATTTTTTGCTTTGAGTTGCGAGCTAAAATTCGGGTTACGCGCCAGCTTCAGATACCCCACCACTAGTTGGTGCAGCGAACGTCACAGTGAACGCCGCAACATCAGCCCAGCATCACGTGTCTCACTCGTTCACTTTAATGATTTGACATACGAGTAATTTGAGTTACAAGCTCCATCACAGAATGAATTAAACTCATAAGTCAAGGCCCCACTGTATTATAATTCTAAGAATTAAACCTAAATTTAAGGCATTCTAAAGTATTTTTACACAATCTCTTCTTTAATCATTAAATAAAATTTAAAGTAAACTCTATTTGGACATGATTTGTGAATAAGAAAAAAACCCTCTGTCTTCATCCTAAAACAAGTTAGGGCAATCTAGGACATATGGGGCTTCACCCCAAATGCATTTCTTGAATGATTTTAAGAGTTACCCTTGTAAGATACAACATTATAAAAAAAAAGCCCAAACTCAAAAAACAATAATCCAAAAATATTTTCACAATTATGGAAGTCCCATATTGTTAATTTTTAAAATGTACTTTTGGGCGTCCGCCCAGTGTGGCTCAGTTGGTTGGGCATCATCTCATGCCCTGAAAGGTTGCCGGTTCGATTTCTTGTCAGGGCACATGCCAGGGTTACAGGCTTTATTCCGGGTATCGGGTATGCAGGAGGCAGTCAATCAATGTTTTGATCTCTCACATCAATGTTTCTCTCTCCTCTCCCTCTAAAAAAAAAATCCATAAAAATGTATTTTAAAAAAAGTACTTTTAAAAAATACGTTTCAGCATGATTCAATGGTTGAGCATTGACCTATGAAGCAGGAGGTCAAAGTCTGATTCCCAGTCGAGGGCACATGCCCTGGTTGTGGTCTCACTCCCCAGTGGGGAGCATGCAGGAGGCAGCCAATCAATGATTCTCTCTCAGCGTTAATGTTTCTCTCTCTCCCTTTCCCTTAACCGGCTAGGGCAATAAAAATATATTTTAAAAACACACATTTAAAATAGTAATCCTAACAGGTACTTTGAGAAAAAAGCAGACAAATAAAATAGGCCATGATAAATTGCCTCAGATGCAGTAAAAAACACACACACAAAACAACAAGGGCGGTATGTTAGAATTTTCCGGGGGCAGTCCCATCTGCTATCTATTGCACGTGACACCCTGAGAGTGAAGACCTGTCTGCGGTCTCAGCTCTAGCACATGCAGGCTCAGTGATATTAGTCACGTCACTCACTACTTCCATATCTTAATTTCATTATTGGAGTGCTGTCCCGAGTAAATAAAATGAATTAGGTAAGTTACGTCATTTATGTAGTCCTAATTACTGAAGTTTTGAGGGACCAAATGACTTGCCTAGGATCAGGTACAATTGACTTCCTACCATAATAGTTATAATTTAAAACTATAAATATTTAAAAGAATCAAATAAACCAGCTGCAGTACAAAATTTGCTATTCTTTCAGCTACTGTTAAAGTAAGATGATGCCCATTTTCGGACCCTTAACATTTCTGCTTTCGTTCATTCTTCTCCCACATTATCCTATCCTCATGGAACAGCCTGCTAATGTGTGCATTTCGGAGACATCTGCGGACTTCCCAACACTTACCAGGGGACTGCAGTGCTAAGGGCATGAATTTCATGCTCCAAGTGCTGCCAGGGGAGACAGTCCTATCAACTATATTCACGACAGCCAACAGGTGAGGCAACAAAGGACGACTGATCTGGCTCAGTGGGTTGAGTGTGGTCCCGTACACCAAAAAGCTGCAGGTTTGATCCCCGGTTGGGCACATGTGGGAGACAGCTGGTGGATGTTTTCTCTCTCACATCAATGTTCCTCTCTCTCCCTCTCTCTTAAAGTCAATGAAAATCCATCCCTAGGTGAGAATTTAAAGAAAAAAATTGTAATCTATAAAGGGAATATAAGAGATCCATATTGCTACGTTTATTACCAGCAACCACAGTGAGAACACTTTCACTAAATGTAACGTAACTCTGATCCTAATTGCAACGTGCTCCGAGGCAGAGTATGACCCAGCTGCCCAGCAGTAACGTAACTGACGCTGCCAACGTTTGAAGTTTGCAAGTGCTCTGCTTCTCTGCTTTCCAAAACGGCAAACCAGTAACTCGTTCCCTATGGTCGTGTAATTAAATAAGAAAAGAGTAGGCGTCCAAAAAGACGGTATTTCCACCCAAGAACTTTCTTTTCACTTTAAACATTACCAGTTGACTTATTGAAACATGCTTAATAAGTACCTCTTGCTCACATAACCCAGATGGGTTAGCCACATTCAAAAGCCTCACAGAGCTGAAGAACCACCCCCCCCCAACTCAGAACTCCCAATGCCAGATATAAGAGCCCTGAAGATCGTTAAGGAAAGCCAAAGCGAGACAGCGCTGGGAACGCATGGCTGCAAGAGGTGCTGAAGCGAGGCCTCCCCGCTCTCCTCTTGATCCCATCACCCACTTTAAACACCGGGTTCCGGAAAGACTTAGCAACAAGGCAACGGTTCTGGATTCCAGAGGATTTAGACTTTCCTAGAAATTAAAGACGACTGCAAAATATCTACAAAAAACAGCAACAGAAAGAACCCCGATTAAATCCATGTTTGGTTCTGTGGCAAACACCATGGGCCTGGGCACCCTGAGGAGGCAGGCTGCAGGAGAGACCCATGCTGCACACACTAAATCTTCCTAAGAACTGGGCCCGAACAGCCACTGATCACACACATTCCCTTCTAACATTGCTTCCTCTGATGAGCATAGCATTCCACGAGAGAGCAGAAGCAAGAGCCATCCAAACTCAGAAACACCCGTCAGAAAGGACATATGCACCCCTAGGTCCATAGCAGCACAATTCACCATAGCTAAGATTTGGAAACGGCCAGCAAAATGAGTGAATAGAAAAACTGTGGTACATCTACAAAAAAGAACACTACTATAAAAAAGAGAACTCTTACCATTTGCAATACCATGGATGGACCTAAACAGGGGGGGGGCGGGGGGTGAGGGCACACGTTGAGGGGTAGGAACGGCTGAGGGAAAAAGAGACATATGTAATACTTTAAACAATAAAAAAATATTTTTCAAAAGCCATTCAACCTCTTTCTTCTAAACAATGATGGCCCTGGGAGACTAGATCTCCCAGATTCTAACACTTTCCCATCTCCTAGTCAAGTGGAGCACTGTAAACACCGTTAAATCGTATCTAGCTTCCAGAGATTAAGATGCAATGGAGGGGCACCCCGTCCAGATGGCGGCGCAGATAGACATGGTACTCCAAACCTCCACAACCACATCAAAATCACAACTAAACAACAGAACAATCATCTTTCAGAGCCTCCTGAAATCTGGCTAAACTGAAGTCCTATAACTAGGACACAAAGAAGCCACACTGAGACTGGTAGGGGGGTGGAGAGGCACAATGGGCTAGTACCCATGTGTGACAGTTAAAAATCAGAAGGGATGCCTTGGCTAGGTAGCTCAATTGGTTAGACTCTAACTGTTAGAGCATCATTCCAAAACACTAAGGTTGTGGTTCAGATCCATAGTCAGAACACACACAAGAATCAACCAATAAATGCATAAATAAGTGGAACAACAAAT